GGCCAGTATGCACTTTGTCGTAGTAAGTCCGTCGTTCTTGCGATGCCTGTATGTGCTACCTGGTGACACTCGTGTATCACTTTGCGCCGCCAGTCTTTCGGGATCACCGCCACCCAATTTTCATCATCGTCCTGCCAGGTCAGCACTCCATATGAGTTCACTCTCAGTCGTTCCTTTTGCCGAAGCAGCGTTATTACCTCCTTGTCCATTGTTCGTTTATCTACGTCTGCTCCCTCTTTTATCACTCTGATTACCTCTCGAAGGTTAGGGTCAGCTTTCTGCTGCCGGACGAGTTCTAATGGGTCTCCCTCTAAACTATTCACCGCGTATGCTGTTAATGGCAGGTCGGCTTCCATGTCTGGTCTTGACAAGTAATCTGCCATTACGTTTTCTTTTCCTGGAACATGGCCGATACTGAAATCGTATTCTTGCAGGCGTATCATCCATCGCGCCAACTTCCCTCGGGGGTCTCTTGCTGTTTTCAACCACTGCAGGGGTTTATGGTCGGTCTCAATGTGAAATCGTCTACCTAAAAGGTATGGTCTCCATTTTTCCACTGCCCACACGATCGCTAAACACTCCTTTTCGATGGTTGAATACTTCTGTTCAGCAGGTGTGAGGACGCGACTCGCGTATTCCACCACTCTATCAGCCTGACTCAACACAGCACCTATACCATGATCACTCGCGTCTGTGGCCACTGTAAACAGTCTTCCCGGTTCAGGCAGTCTGAGCGTCATCTGGCGATCGTCTAGCATGTTTTTGATTCGGTTGAACGTTTGTTCGGCAGTCTCAGTCCACGTAAACTTGGTGCTGCTTAATAACTTATATAAGGGTGCTGCTATTTCGTTGAAATTCTTGATAAACCGACTGTAGAACGCCGCTCTTCCCAGGAACTGTCTCAACTTCCTTTTCGAATTAGGTACTGCAATATTTTTTATGGTAAGAATTTTCTCCGGCAATGGTTTTATTTCTCCATTTCCCACTTTATGTCCCAACAATGTGACGCTACTTCTCGCTATCTGCGACTTGTCCTTATTAATCCGAAGTCCAAATTCGTCAATTCGCTTTAAGACCGCTTCCACATGCTTGATGTGATCTGTTTCTGTTTGACTGTACACAACTACATCGTCGCCATATACCTCGACATTATCTAGATTCTTGAGCAGTAGTGTCATTAATCTTCTGAACGTGAACGGTGCACCCGCCAACCCGAACGGCATTCGTTTAAATTGATACTGTTTATCACGTACAGTAAACGCTGTCTTGCTTCGATCACTCTGTTTTATAGGCAGTTGCCAATAACCTGACCGTAAATCCAGCACTGTAAACACCGTGGCATTCTGTAGCCGATCTAATGTTTCCACCACTGTTGGCATTGCACAAGGCTTCAGGTCTGTTATATTATTCAATTCTCTGAAGTCGACACAAAATCTATACTTTCCATTTGGTTTCTTTACCAAGAGTACCGGCGAGCTATATGGACTGTCCGCTTCCTCAATTATACCTTCTTTTAACATTTCCTGGACCTGACGATTTACCTCGGCCTCTAAATGCACCGGGACACGACGTGTTGCAAATATATTTACTCGACTGTTCTTTATCGGTATTTCGTGCTTTACTCTGTCACAAAATCCATACGGCTCCCCATCTCCAGTGAATAGTTTCGCATACTTTTTGCATAACTCGTGAATGTTTGGTTTCTTTGACGAGACATCCGCTGCAACTCTTATTTCAGCCACTTCGCTACTTTCGTGTATTGTCAATGAACCATATTTCGTGACCACCTTACCGCTTCTTAAGTCAACTATCGCTTTTACTTCTCTTAGGAAATCTGCTCCTAATATCGGTCTCGATAAGCTTGTGGTTACGACGAACGGAAAATTTATCTCAGCATCCCCCACTTTTACGATACTGTTAGATACGCCAAACACCTCTAACATATGGCCCCCTATCGTGTGGACAGCTAATGTACACGGCTTGATTCTCTTACATTGCTCTTTGCCTATTAACGATACTGCTGCACCTGTATCGATCAGACAAACTAAATCTCGCTCATTTATGTTCACTCTCGTATATACTGCCCCTCTGTCTACTAACGCAACAATCCCCAGATTCCTAGGATAGAAAGAACACTCGTTGTAACGTCTAACATATCTGCGTCTTCGTCTTGTTGGACAGTTTATCTTCCAATGTCCTGTCCCTCCACAAGCGTAACATTTATCGTTCCTTTTATTGTTCACTCGTATTGCTGCAATCTCACGCTCCAGCTCCTCAATCTTCTTCTCGACATTACTCATCTCCTGCTTTTCGCACCCGACTGGAGCTACTGTTCGCGTCATCAGCTGACGAGTCACCTTCGCCAGTTCACTGATATCCATCGGTTGCGCTGCGTTCACCAGTTTCAGCTGTTGGGAGACGGTGGCAGGCACACTCTCGATAAACTGTGACGCCAACAACTGTGCCTCCGACTCCTCATCCAGACTCGGCAGCGCACGGCGTAACAATCTGGTAAGCTCCACAGCCAGCACCTTTTTTTTTTTTTTTTTTTTTTTTTTTTTTTTTTTTTTTTTTTTTTTTTTTTTTTTTTTTTTTTTTTTTTTTTTTTTTTTTTTTTTTTTTTTTTTTTTTTTTTTTTTTTTTTTTTTTTTTTTTTTTTTTTGTCCAAGCTGTCATACACAGCCTTCGCCCAGCCTCTCAGAAGCGTCCCCAGCACCACCAGCTTCGCCTTCGGCTCCTTCACTCCCACCAGCTCCGCCACAGCCTCAAACTCCTTCAGGATTTTTTTTTCATCTCCGTCCTCAAACTCCTTCGGCCATGGAATCTTCATCCTTAGTGGAGGCAGCGACACCAAATGTAGTGAAGGAGAACACGGGTGAGGACAACCAAATTGTATTTAGGACAAATTACAGAATTACTTGGTAAAATAGAAAAACCATATAGTAAGTCGTTAATTTGCAAAATATTATTCTATCATATCAAACCGGACTGTTGCTTTTGCAAACATCAATCCATTGTCTCTCATTTCATTGTTCATGCGATTTCTTACAAATTCCATTGTTTTCTCGCTCTTCTTTTCTTGATCTTCTCCATCTTCTGCTGCCAGACGTTACGTTCTTTTGACTCACGTTATATACTACTTATATCAATATAAGTAGCACGCACCACAGTATATCGATTAAAACAAAATAATATTGTAACCTATTTAATTATAGTACTTGTTTCCCAAGTGTAGATTTGTCTAATTGTCTTTGAGTTACACTTTAAATATTGTGGTAGGAGCAGTCTTGTTATTCGATTGGCTAGATAAGAATAGGTGGTGTAGCTGGATTTGAATCTGAAATATTAGTCGTTGGTAATCGAGAGCGCTTCAGATACCAAAGCCGTAGGATTCTCGATCGATAAACAATACTCTTATATATTCCTTTTGTTGTCTGAGTTTCATAAAAAAACTTGCGATTTTTTTGGTTTCGTAGCTATAAACTGTTATGTTAATATTTTATATCAAATGAAGTTACTTATTAGTTAGCGAACAGTACTGTCATCAGGCTTTCCACCTTATTCACTTTAATATTTGACTACGATCTGCCTTTGTTTTGGTTTACTAGTTTGCTGTTTTTTGATGAATTTTTTCTCAATTTCAAGACAAAAATTACTTTGTTCACTTATTCTGACATAGATTTATTCACCATCAACCTGTTAAATGTTTTTTTGTTTTATAAAACGGTCGTGAAATGTCTAGTCAGTCATCATCAATATAAGACCTGGTGTATAGACGTCCGTCAGCCCGTATTATCACATCGCATCAACAAAGCAAGGTAAATAAATACCAAAGGAATTGAAATAATCAATGATGCTACAATGAATTTAAATATGAAGAAGTTCAATAAAAAAAATAGGAATGAATTTTCGGGAGGAAGTTATGTAATTATATTGAAATTCAGAGTCTCGGGATCCATCTGTTTGCCACTACAACAGATTGTGTGAGTCACGTTACCTGGGAATGTAACCAAATGTAGTTTGATTCGACGAAACCTTTTTTGTCAAATCTCTTTAGGTCACTTCAATCTTTCTTGTTTACATCCTCCTTTCTTCTCTTTGTTTATTAGTTCGTTTTTTCCAAAGTAAATAAAAGCAAACTGTTCAGGTGTAATCATGCATAAATCTGTATGTCATGATGACTTGATCAATTCTGGTCAAAATTAATATTTTTAGTTGAGTAATTAATCGATTGTTTGCTGACGTCAGTTGGTTATCTGTTATATTAACTGAAGTAGTGGACAATTAATTAAAAATAAATATAAATAACGTAAAAACAATTGTTTTTCTCTTCATCATTACAAAAATCTTATGGCATGATTGTTGCTGGTGGTGGTGGTGGTGGTGGTATGATATCTTCATATTCTGCTTTTTTGTGTTTATTAGTGTTTGCTTGTCTGATTGTTCTTCTGTCCTGTTTGTTTGTTATTTTAATATTCAATTCTTAAATTATTGGCGTTTTCGAGGTGAATTAAATTGTACTAATTTTGCTGTATCAGTTATATTTCTTTTTTGTTAGCGAAGGTACATATGTTCTTGACATCAATCAATATTTTAATTGATCATATTTGAATGAATTTTAACGTTACTGTGTGCATTTTATATTCCTTTATTTTTAACGGGAAGATTGTAGACAAGGTTGTAACTCATTTTGATAGAGAATAATTTAGTTTTTTATTTGAAGGTATCTGTTATTTAGCCACTACCAAATGTTGGATATCATTATAAGTTCAATGAGTGAATGATATTATGTTGTAAGACTAAGAAAAATAAGAAGCTTAAGTTCAGTCTCACATAGGTAAGGTCACTAGTTCAAACTCGTGATTTGTACATATCTAGCATAAAACAATGCTTGCTGTGTGATTTTCAAAGATTCACCAATATTATGTCAGTTTATAATGTAAATACCCTTCATATCATACACCATTTATTCGTATCATGAAAATGATAATTTTTTTTAGATTCAGCAACAAGTTATAAGTTATCAGAGGAGAAAATTGTCAATAAAATTTCTCATAATTCAAATATGAAGATAGAAATTTCTGGAAACTATATTGACGATAACAATAATAATAATAATATGGTTGATCCTGCTAGTAATCCGAGTAATACAATTCAGAGATCATGTGACCAAATGACAGAAAAGCATTCTATGCACAAATCACCTGATAATTGTAATGATCATATCAATTCGGATGATGACAGAAATACTCAATCGACTGTTGTCACACAACCAATTTGTGCTCATTCTACATCTTTTGAAGGGCAAATCTACCTAACCGATACAATGGTTTGTTTATTTATTTACTTTTTCGTGTTTATTATTATCCATATTTGTATCATTATATATGTTATCCTAAGTGTTTTCACTATTTGTCCAAGGATTGGAACCTAACAATCCACATTTCTATCTCTCATCAGTTCAGAACATTGTGCAATGATCAACTAATGGCATCTGTATGAATAGACTACTTTATTCTTGATACTGTTAAATCCTAATACCTTATTAAAATTCGTCACTAATGAGCATATAGTTTTTATCACCATGTGATGTCATTATGGATATAGTTGTGAATAGACATTTAAAATCTTGCAAGTGACGGCCAGGCGCTAGTTTGCCAGGTACATTCATATTTTTCCCTTTATATAACTTTTGACAAACAACTTAGGTATATTTAAATTTATGCACTCAGAAATGAAAAAGCTCCACAATACCGTGTCTTGCACGTATATTATCTGACGAACAGATCGTGAGGGCTGACCTGGTAGAAAATGTATGGTTTTAAACATTCGGCGTATTCATCGTTGCAAAGATTATTTTCTGATATATCCACTTAATTTTATATGATTATATATATATATACGACGAATATGACGGGTGATTGTTTGTAATATTGGATCATGAGAACTTCATATTGTACTAAAAATATAGTATTGAATATAGCCGATATTATTATTATTATTATTATTATTATTATTATTATTATTATTATTACCTATATCCCTAATGTAAAGATAAAAGTTGTATTATTTGGGATTTGTTAAAGCATGATCCTTAATCCTGTCGAATCAGACTGAGAGAAAGCATGATCGAAGCAAATATAACGATATCTGTATTATTCTGTCTGTTTTTAAAACAACAATTTGCAATTTGTGTGAGCGATTTTAAGGTTGAAACCTGAACGCCTTGACCACTGGACCACTACCACCACCCTGCATGCACATAGCATATGGTCTTTGTTGAATACTCAAAGCAGTTTCAAAAATGTCGTTCAATGTATATTTTTCCCGCGAAATCATATAAAAATGACCAAGGGTTTTTGAAGTAAATTTAAACTCCTACCGTTCATTATTCCCTAAAAATACAACAATTTTGGTTATGTATAATATCAGATTTTGTTTATTGTCTTTTTATCAATAAACACTATTTAGAAAAATTTACAAAAACAGCTTTCCACCGTTAAAAATGAATTAGATTTGAAAAGCCACGCTTTGAAAGTTGCTACAGATCGTCAATTAGAATTGGAAAATGCCCTTAAAACTCAAGTTGCAGAACAAACATCTAAAATAGAAAAAATTAGTACAATTTCTAATCAGTTGGGTCAACGATTAGATGTTTTGCTGTTAAACTACCAGGTTAGTTTTCTATTTATTTGCTTTATTTAAAGGACTAATATTTGAACGAAAAATATTCTTTCCGCTAAATTCTCATCAGGTTCTATAATTATATATCCAAATTAATAATTCGGAAAATGGCCAATTTAAGGGTAAAGAATGTTCTTCGTTCAAATATTAGTCTTTTAATATGATGGGGGTCTTTAAGCGATTAAATGATTTCATTTAGTTATTTGACAAGGATTCTTTTCCAATAACATGTATTTGCATAGTTATTGGTAAATTTCTAGTTTATTCTATTTTGCAGCAGAATCATCTAACATTTCTTACTGTTGTGGTTAATGTACAACTCATTACTCATCTGTCCCTATAAATTATCTAACAAGTTGCTTTATCATGATATCTCGATATATTTGCGTCGAGATGATACACTCCAAATATGCATATAATAATAGAAACCAATCAATTGCAGTCATAAATGTTAACAATAAAAGGGAATTAAAGACTCTTCTTTAGTTACTCCTGTTTATTTATTGTATTTCCTTTCATTTCTTTTTTTCTTGATTACTACTCATTGTACATCTTTGATTATTTTGACTACTTTTTTGAAGTCTTATCGCGAAACAACTGAAAAAGAAATATCCAGTTTATTAGTTGAGCGTAAAATTGCTAGTACAAATCTAGAAATTCTTCGTTCACATTATGATGCTCTTGTTGGTAGACGTTCACAAGCTGCTATTGAATTAAGTAGACAACCAATTCAATTACCAAATGAGAAAGATGAATTAGAACATTTGGCGTTAAAATTATATGAAGAAAACTTATCATTTCGGTAAGTGTGACTTTTTTCTGTTAATCTTTTTGGTGAACTTTTTCCTCGACTACAAAATTTATTTTCATAGTCCTATGTCAAGTGTTTGTTTACGTTCTTTGTTCTTATCTTTCTCCTACCAGCTCGTTTTTTGTGTTCATTGTCTTATACTACTTATCAACATTCAGTAAATAGTTGTATTCTTAGCAATTTCTACGCGTTTGTGGTAACACAGGTTTGTTGTTATGTTCTAAAATATTTACGTATGCATACAGTATTTATCATCGGAATTAGTATCCCTAAACCCCTGTTACAGTTGTTCTCAGTTTTGTATGGTCTTCGGATTCTTGTCGAAATGTGACAGTTTCTATATTTGTTTGCTTGTGGTTCCCTTTTTGCTTGTTGACAAATTGTTATCTAGATCAGACACAGCTATCAGTTTACGTTATGGTTACGAGTTATGGCTTTTTACCTTATGAAAAATTATTTACGCAGTCAGTTCTTTAATCTTGAATCCGAACATCGTTTAAGCTACTTTGAAAAGTTAATGAGCCATGTCAAAATGTTATATAAATTTTATTTGTTTTCTGTTATTTTTTCTCAGGAAAAGCTAATTAAGCGAGACTATAATTTGTGGACGAACCAATCAGATTTACGATAACAGGTCTTGAATTTTGGCGCGAAATCAATTCATTCATTTGGCTAAATAGAGTTTTGTCATTATAGCTGATATCAGTTCGTGATGAAAACCCTATATCTGATTCCTAACCCTAACTATCAACTGTAAATATTAATCTTAATTCCTCACACTGTTTTATAACCGTCATTTATCTGTAGTATATAGGCTGACATTTCCAAGGTCTCTTTAGCGTCGTTCTAAGGTCGTCCATAAATTATAGTCTCATCGCGAATAACTTTCTCGGGATCACTTTTGTAATTGCTTAAGTTGTTCTTATTCTTCAATTTCGCTACATCTAATTATTCTAAGTGTTCTCGTAACTAATTATTGGTAGGTTTACTTTACTTCTAGCTACGTACAAGCTAACCGTCACAGGATATTGAGTTTTTACGAGCTCGTTTTCGTTAATCTAATTAGTTCGTCAGTTTAGTGTAATCCAATAAATATGGACATTGTTCTCAAGGTGATAATGTACATTTGTACATTATTGAGCTTAGTAGTTGAAGTAGTTAATCTTCAACGTCACTCCGCCTGGATAGCATAATTAGCCGTCAGATACTTAAAATATAACTTGAAGCGGTGCAGGCAAACCTAAATATGTTCTAATTATATCAATATTCCCACTTATTGATGGCTAGTTCAAAGTAATTTGACTTGTAAGTCCTATTCTCTGCATTGTTGACTGGATGAATAACTAATCTGCATTAACTTTTGTCAGTGTATGATGGTCTCATTTGCGAGTTCACTGAGTCTTCACGATTAATAGACTTTGCAGGGGATTTTTGCAATTTATCTTCACTCCATATTAAATGCTCGACTGAAAGTGTATATAGATAATTTAAACGAACCCACACGTATGCTAAATATTTTCTAATTATAAATGAATTTTCTCACGATTCAATGTTTCTGAGATACTTCTCTTAGTCTATACTCATACATAGGTTCCGATTTTGTATGTTTTTACTATGATCAGTTTTCATAATTAACCTATTGACGATGATAAACTTTCCTCCTACTAAAAACTGTTTCGGATACTTAATTGTCTGTGGTAATTAAGAAATTTCGCTACACGTTCTGGATAATTTTTCTCTACGATGTATTCCCATTTTGTTTAGTAGTGCTGCTTTTCAAGTATTCACATATTAGTTCTGTTTATCTCTTTAACTGAAAGTGAGAGCTTGTTACCCAATGTGTCTGATAATATTTCGTTTAAAAAAAACCCAGCAAATAGTTTCTTTTCGAATTATTAATCATTGTCGGATAAGATTTTTACTGCAACATACATATCCCTCAGTTAGTATTGCGGTCATTTTGTGCCTTATATCTGAGTAAGGTGAAAAAATATCTAAAAACTATACCTATTTAGTAATATACAACTCTAGGTAAATTTTAAACAACCTGAAATTGTAATTAAAAAGTTTGAGTGATTAGTACTGGTCTATCCAGCAACAACCGAATAAATTTTGTCCAATGGAAGATTATTGAGACCATACAGCAGTAGTAGTACGAATCCAAGTTCTGATTAGGAAACTTAAATTATCTCTCAATGATCTGTATTAATTTTATTGAGGTTACAAGCATTGGGAAACCATTGAATGACTGTTCTTCCGGCGTGGGGCTCCCCAGTAGTATGCAATTTCTGGTGGCGGGGTCACAGATTTCCACTGCCGATGAGTTCCATACTGGGACGAAACAGCTGCCCAATAGTTCTAGTTTCTTATTGTTTGTTTAAATTAGGCATTTTTGACCTTGATAGAATGCAATAGTCTCCACGATTTCCATACCGATAAACAGATTAATCTTTGTTTCAATTAAAATACTGTGATCAATTTGGTTTGATGCTGATTTACATAACTAGAAAATTCATTTATATACATTTAAATGTATACATATTGTTAGTGTTTTTGATTTTCACAATAAAGTGAAGCACGTGATCATTTAGAAGAATGTTTAAAGAAGGAAACTGAAACTCACAGAGAACAGCTAGCAAATGAACAACAAGAGCGTATTAATTTTGAATCGTCAATTCTACAAGAATTGGAAGATGCACGTAGACGTCTAGCTGATCTTGCCAGTATTACAACTGAACGTGATAATGAAACTGTTTTAAGACAGAAATGTGAAGATGAATTAAAAATGTCCAAATCTAAGTTGAATGAAATACAGGTGCGTGTTTATGTATGCATATAGATTATTACTTTTTTCTATCATTGTCATAACAGTTAATCAGTTAGTCATAGTCCATGTAGAACCTAGCATATATATACATTGGTCCAAGTTGTCATGCTATATCGGGAAGATTAGCTAAAACAAAATAATCTAATAAAAATAATGATGAGAAAGTCTATATATATAAGGATATATAGACCATAACGGGCAACACTTCAACATTATTCACTATTGCGTGAGGTGACCGTGCACTTGAAGGTAAAACACCTATGGATTCATTGTTTCTTTAGCCTCGAGAAATTTTCCTGAAGCCCGTGAATTAAAATTGGTATATGAGTATCCGCTAACACAGATAATACAATACCTCAACATGTTTCTACACTACTTTCATATCTGCATTATGTGCTGTAGATAGCCTGATTTAAGCGTAAATTTACTTGGACAACTCTCAAATGATTCCACGTTAGAATGTAACAAGTTTTTTTCTCTTTACAATGCCTGGAAATTCCAGAGGTTGCTGTTAGAACGCCTTTTCAGTGATAGCGATGTCAACGAGCGATGGATTCAGACAAAATCTATATTCATGAGTAGAATAATGTGATTTATTCAAAAAATAACCTCATCCTACTAACGGAGCAACTTTTTTTCAATGACATTAAGACTGCGGTACAATCGTGGATACTTTAAAAAAATTTGCCTGATGTCCTTGTCCAGTTGAACAATCTACTCACCCACATTAGCCCGCCTATACATACATCTTCTACCCACTATATTGTCTTCAGACAACACGTGATCTTTCTGACTTTTCAACAGCATATGATCTCTCTATAATTAAATTCTATTTTTACACTTTGTTCTATTCTTTTTTTAAAAAAAAGGCTAAATATGAACTGACTGAAACTAATTTAACTGAAGCTCAGAAAAGAATTATTGATCTACAAGATCAAGTTATTCGATTGCAAAATGATTTAGACAATGTGGAATCGGTTCAAGCTGATTTTGTTCGTTTGTCACAAAATTTACAAGTGAGTCCTATTCGTTTAGTTTGGTTTCACTTACATGTAAAGTGTTCCATTTTGTATGATTATATCTAGGGTTACTGACCAATAAGTTGATGTTTTAAAACAACTTTTATGATTGTAAACTATCATCTCTACTCATAATGCTTGTGACTTGAAGTAATGTCGAGGCAATCCACACAGGATGCACATATGCCAATAAGAGACTGATCAATTGCAATCTTAAACATCAATGGTAAGATTCAAGTAAACAATACAAAAACTATTATAATTGTTATTATCAGTAGAATCATACTCGTCACTTGTTGTTTTCTGCATGAACCCATTCATAGATTACCTTAATCAGGTTGCATGAATCGTTAACTGTATCTTTTTAATGACTTAAAGTAGTTTTCTTTATTATAAAAACAGCATTAATTGTTTTTATTGTGACGCACGGTGTGCTACACGCTAACTCCCGACTGACTACTTGAGCGAGAAAGTGTGTTGAACTACCGAATGAATTGCACAAATGCTCATTCATATATACGACTCTATCCTTAGAAAATTAACACATTGACCCCAATGAAATGCACTTGACCTTTAGGTGACTTCTGATTGCCATCGATTGACGTTTTACTACTTCTAATTGGCTCTCCATATCGGTTTTAAAAACAGTCGCTAAAATAATAATCCAGAGTATTGACTTTTTGTTCTTTCCTAATCTGGACACCTTTATCGTGTATGGAAAGCTTTGAGTTCCATCGGAATTGTGTTATTATTCGATTTTCTATTCATAATCCTATAATCGTGCATATTCAAACTTTACTGTATTCACAATACACCACGAATACCATTCAATTTGGTCATTTACAAAACAACACACTTGTCACTTGCCTTAAGATAGACTTCTCGAAGTCATCAAAATCTTAATAGAGAAAACACATCACCTTTCAGATTAGTCAAATAATTTCTATATTTCAGCTTAATAATTTATCTGATAATAAAGTGTTCCTCTTATTACCCGTAAGTTTTCAGCGTTAAAATAATGGTTTGTACCGATGGATTGATAACATGCAAGGGTACGATGTGATGGAATAGTGGCTTCTCATCATACTGAGTTATTGACATCTACCTAGTAGAATGAGTTGTTAGTCTAACGACGTATCGTGCTCACGAAACACTGAACAAATGAACGAATATATTTAAGTCACTTATTTATTTATTTAGTTATTTATTTATTTGTTTATTTATTTAGTTATTTAAACACACAAACATTGGTACAAGGAGGCACCAAACAGATATGCGCCACATAAATCATTCGATTTGTGTGAGGGCTGGGATACGACCCAGGTGCCCAGACCGAAGCAGGTGGTTTTCTTAGGGGGCCACACCCCGAGCCTTGGACCTAAACGTCTGACCCACAAAGTAATGGAGCATCGTGAGGAGATGCAGTCCCATAGTAGACGGTGACCAACGGTTGGTTCATACGCCATTTGTTCCCTTAGGATACTGGAGCCCATGTGCACCATTGGTTTGGAATCCGGTTAAAGCGCCAGACACTCGCTTTTCGTCCTCTCGATTTCGTAAACAACAGTAATGCCACGAGAGGGCAGTGAGTAGGACTTCCCTGACAGAGGCTGTATACGCGTGGCCGTGTGAGAGCATTTCGAGAGGGAGGATGGGCCCACCCCACTCTTGGCCATACCAGCGCATTTGGGGGCAAGAGTCACTTAAACAATAAACGATTTGAAGATAAAGCCACTGCAACTCACTAATTCTCCAATAGAATCAATGTGTAACTTCTAGTCTTAATCCTTGCTTCTTCATATCGATCGTCTGCAAATTCATCAATTAATTGAGTTATTATTGATGTTTCATTGACGCTCTCGAGTAATAATAATAATCTTGATTATAGTAATCAGTCAGTTTGTCCTTTATGCAAAACATTCTTATTCTGAAATCTTTTAACATGTCCTCGTAAATATATCTTCAGTTTTATCACTGAATTATTTTGAAAAAGTTGTACTAGCTTACTAATGAGGAGGTGGTGGCAGCGTTTCCTCTGGACAACATGACTTTACTTGTCTCTCAATTAGACCAACCAGTTAACACGACACAACACCATTAAACACATTGATTTCTAATTGTTACACTCAATCATTGTGAACAGACCACACTATTGGTTCTTCAAGTTACATTTCAATTATGTAGTTTTCGGTCTTTTTTATGTTGTGCTTATAAATTTATTTCAGGTTCAACTGGAAAGATTGAGACAACAAGATCAAGAAGTAAGATGGATTAGTCCAGATGACGTGACCAACTGTTTTTCGTGTAATTCAGCATTTCCAATTGGACTTTCTAATAGTAACAATTCGAAAAAATCAATTGTCGTCATTGTGGTAAAGTTCATTGTTCGAATTGTACAAAGAACACTATGCCAGCTGGACCATTTGGTCATCCGGCTGTTGTATGTGATGTATGCCATACTTTGTTGAATAAAAATATTGCTCCGTATTTCAGCACAACATCATTAAATAATAATAATAATAATAATAATAATAATAATAATGGTAATAATAATCAAAGGGATCACTTTCCATCTTCTAAACGTTTCAGTTTGTCATCGCCTACACAATCCTCAACTAATCTATCAACTAAACCTTCTTAATAACACTTATTCATTATTCATCCTTTCATAATATCAAATTACTACTGTTTTGTTTCTGCTCTTTCGTTTAAATTTCTCTTCTAATCTAACTGATCTATAATAAATTGTTTGAGCTGTCATAAATTAATTGCATAATCTTTACACTTTTTTACTTCACTTCCTTCACAGTGTATACACAAATTAATTATTATATATTATTTTGCCTTTTTATGTATTTATTACTGTTTTAATGTTTACTTTATACTTCTTTGAATTATTTCTTCATGTAGACTTGTACGTGTGTATGTGAATCCCATACGCTAATGAGTTTGTGTTCATGTGATGACAGAAATCGTCACATAACCGTATTTGTGCGTTTTTTTTTTGTATGAACTCAATCGAGTTTGTATATTTATGTTACTTTTGTTTTATTCATTTAAATATTGACTGTACCATCTTATTATTATTATTATTATTACTTTCACTATTATTATTATTATACATACATGTCTTTCAAACTTAATGTTTGTGTCCGTTTATTTGGTTTTCTTCATCAGCAAGATGTGCTACTTTGTTTTCATTTCAGTAGTATAAAATATGTATTCGTTTTGTTTTGAAAAAGCACACATTAGTTTGCCTATACGAGTATTAGCATGAAATTTATCAATTATTCTATTCATATTAAACATAATAAGAAACTATTCCATTCTTACTTATTTATCTATTTTTTCGATATGTTGATTATGTTATACATGATCACGTATCAATCATTTTTGACGGTTTATATGATAGTGTGAACAAAAGTTCTTTAGATTTGTATGAATTTAATTCATTTCTTACTTTTTGAATCGCTAGCTGAGGAAAAAACAGACTTAACAAGGAGATTTAAATAGGCAATAGTGAAACGTGTCCGTCGAATGTATAGGTGTGGTTAATAAAATGTAAGTTGAAAAGTCAACTATTTCTGTTTTCTTCCTCACACGCTTCCTGATCCTAACAATATAGGTATTTGTTATGATTGTGGAAAAAGCTTCTGATTGTTTCAACGCGACAAATCTGACATGTTATCGAGATTGCAAATCAATGTAAGACAAAGAGCCATTGAATGAATGGACAGCTGTTTAGCCCCAGTGTGAAATTACTTAGCAACGAATATCTACGACCCCTTACCAGAGGTTAAACCTAACACTTTGAATCTCTCGCTCGGTCGATTAATCTCTAGATCACTGAGCCGGGATCTCTTGGTATACAAGGCTAACTTCAATCCAATCTTGCTGTCGTGCGACTATATTCCATTGTATGCGGTGGGTACCTTTCTCACATCTGACATGAGTAGACTCCAGTGGCCACGGCTTCTGATTGAAACTCCAGGAATTCTCTCTCGGATCTAATCAACACATGATGTGGCTCGGTGTTTGGAAGAACAGTAACACTAGACGAAACCTTACTCATGATCCAATCACTGATTTACATTTATATCATTGCAGTTAGTAAAGATGGGCGCCTTTTTTATTCAGGAATATCATATCATTTGATATTCACCATTTTTGTATCTGTAGTTGAACTTCTTAATCTTGGCACTGATGAACTGCAAATCATAGTAGATAATGACTTGTATTACAGCGCACTTGATTAGCCGTATTTGATGTGATTAATTTCATTTACCTTATCATTGTCAATGGTTGTTATAGTAGGTCTCCAGTTTATTTGATTTCGCTCAAATTGATTTGTGCGTATACAAAATGACAATGTTTCTATATCATTCAGATCATAACGTGTATAGATTTTCACACACACACAGATGTGATCATTTAAATCGTTTTCATTGACGAACTCCTCCTGTCTAAAGAATTTTTGTTTAAAATTTTCGGCAGTTTCCTCTGAATAGTCATGAACTATCTTATGTCTTACTGTTTAAACTCAAAATAAACATCTATGTTTTTTTACAGAGACTGCTTAGTAAATAATTATTTTGTGACAATATGATCAGAAAAATTAATGTTTCCCAATGTTTAAATAAACAACTAGTCGGTTGATTTAATTTCTTAGAAAAATTGCATAAAATGCTAAAGATTGAAATATAGATTCGATAAGAAACTATAAAACTTAGGTGCGTATTTTTCTTAGTATAAAGGTTTGTTATCCGTGATGCCGTTTGTGTCAATTACTTAACTACTGTTATTCTTGTCCAACCTTATCAGTCATACCTACTTTGTGAGAGAGTTTTTGTTGCCGAGGATTCTTTCTTTTTCAAAGTCTATTCATTGTCGAGATTCAAGAATCGGTTGTGTGCGAACATTTTATTAATTCAGTAATCATTGTCATTAGTGTTGATTGTCATAATTCTATCAATGATATGTAAAACTTATATTTACTGAAACTATATAATTTCTCTGTCTAATAGTATTTTGCATAGTTACTTGATACTGACCACACTATATTATATTTTATTTTAATTCATAACATTTAATTTCCTGTATGTGCAAAAACGTGTCCATTGCAAGGTTGATTGACAATTCATTTTTAACATTATGTCATCAATTGAAAATAATTAAACATATTAACTTTTATGCAATTTGATTGAAAATAACGAAACCCAATGAATTTATTGCATTCTACTATTTTCATATCCTATGGTCCGTCAAATACCACATGACGAATCGCCAGTCAGAATACCGACTCTTATGAACTTGTTTCGTGTCAACTCTTAATCCTTATTGTTCCTCTTTATAATAACTGCTCGCCTCGACCAGCTCGTTCAGCCCAGAAAACAAATATCAGCCTTCTCTGTGTGAATCGTAAATATTAGACATACTTATTTTATATGCAAACAGACCAGACCGCATCACATCATAAAATGAAAAATAATAATTATAAAAGATCAAGACAAAAGTGGTTGTGAGTGTGGGATACTGTAACTGATAAGTTGAGAATAATTAAATAATGGTAAATCGTATTGACTCGTGATCTCAACTATTGAAATCGTATTGCATTAACCAATAGGTCAAATGAAAGCTTATGGCAAAAGGGATATGAACATACATATAACCTAGTTACTTAATAGGTATCAAGTAGGAATATATGTGACAATAGTTCTTAGGAGTTGCCGTTCATTTATTCTTCGTTCGGATAATAGCAACTACGAGTGTCATCTTTGTTTTGTTCAAATTCTCCGTATCATTTTTTATAAAATACAATATAACATTTGTAGATTCAACACCATGTAACTTAATTTAGTTAAGCATATACTTCAACTTTTCTATCAATGTTAGAGAGCTGACTAAAAATAGTTTACTTTTCTCAATGTACTATCAAAATTGTTTGTTTTTTTAAATCAATAGAATTGTCCATATCTATTCTTATTGATCAACATGATAGCATCAGTCATGTCTACAAATTTATTGTTTTATGATAGACTAATTAACTGTTATGCTTTGGAAGAATCAGTTAGTAGTGTGAGGTATTCTTTATATAAACATTTAAAATTTCATTGTATATAACTTAATAAAGAGTATTTCCATCTTTTTAAAATTATTATTACATTGAATAAACTGTTCTATGTTTACTTCCTTATTAATGTACTTTACAAATTAATAGTGTGATTACAAAGTACATACTCTGTAGCATTGTTTAGTGTACAAGTTAATGTAATTACCTTAGCCTTATTATATTCATGTGATGCATACGTGTATACCATCAATTTTCACTGGTTATTTTATTTTAATTTTTAAAATATTAAGTAAAACGAATTCATTGCATGTATTACTTTGAATTTGTATTGTAACTTGAGTCTGAAGAAACTGTTCAAAGTGTTAAATGTATATAATTGAATGCATGAGTCGATCTAAGCTAGATTACCATTGAAACCTGGAAACATTGGATAACCGTTTCATCCTAGTACTGGACTCCTCAACACTGTATATCCGCGATCCCGAGCGCAAACCCTTAACCTCTAGAACATTGAGTCGGCATCCAATGGTGTTAATATCTAACTTTAATCGATCCAAGATCTTGCGCAACCCTTCATTTATTGTTTAAAGTGGATAACTGTCTCCACCCGACACGGATTGGAGTCCACTAGTTACGGCTTCAAACGTAAAAATACCACAATCTCCACAAATTCCCATTCCGTCAAGTTTATTTCAGTAATGAATCAGATGAATAAAAGTACAGCCCACAAGGGGATTTAAAAATTTCGTTAACTGAAATTGAATAAAGGTCCTAATGAAAAGAACTATGAGGAAATTTTTTCAACTATCACTAATTTTTCATAAACGTATAGTTGACTAAATAAAGCGCTTAAGTGACCGAGATGAGTGATAATTGAATATTGATCGTATCAACTCCGTCTTTTCAGTACGCTCTAGAAATAAATCAGAACTACCGATCAACGAACTGATTATATTGTTAACAAGTTTTCAAGAGTTTTACTTACGCCTGTTACCCCTCGTGGATGATCATAGGCCGCTCACTAGCGCTTTTCATTCAACTCTGTCCTGGGCAATCTCTTCCAGTAGCTATTCATCCTTTTCATGTCTGCTTCCACTTGCTGTGTTGTCCTGCCTTCCTCTTTTCAGTTCCCTTTCAAGATTCCAAGTTATTGCCTGCCTCGTGATGCAGTTTGGTAACTTCCTCAATGCATGTCCTATTCCCTTCCAACGTCTCTTCTTAATTTCCTCTTCAGCTGAAAGCCGGTTTGTTCTCTCCCACAATAGGCTGTTGCTGACGGTATCCGGAAAACGGACATCGAGTGTTTTGCGTAGACAATTGTTTATAAATACTTGTGACTTTTTGATGATTGTTGTAGCGGTTCTCCACGTTTCAGCTCCGTACAGTAGAACTGTCTACGTTCGTATTGAAGATTCTGACTTTGATTCAAGACTTTTACGTATACATAAATGATTTTGAAAATAACTATTAACTGTAATATAAAAGCCTGTCCAGTCACCTTGTTATCTGGACATGTTCGTCTTAAGCAATTCATCTTATCAGAGCACGTTTTCAGAGACCGGACGTCAGCTTAAAGTTCTCAACGAGGTGGTTAATTATACTCCCGAAAGAAAATAAAACTACTGGCTAATAAACTGGATACATTGTTATTAATAAACACTTAACTATCAGTGATACAAAAATGACTTTAAAAATCAATATACATTGAGTTATAAAGAGTTTTCTCAATCAGATTGTTATGTTTTTGCCAATTTTTCATTTTGAATACCGCTGACAAGTGTAAGTTTTCAAACGTCAGCTTCAAGTCCCATGGATACTCGATAATTCCAGAGTTCTATCTTATGAGTATGCATTGATAGGATCATTTTGTTTGCATACTTTGTAACTTCTGAATTTACCTTACAATAATAAATAAGGTTCAGTTGAATTAGCAAATATGAAAGTATTATTTACCACCGCCTGGGGATTAATTTTACCGATTTATTTTAGATAGTTAATTACAAAATATTTAGCCGCTAGTCTTCCAGCTGTTGTTAGTTGTTGATCGAAATTATATTGTAGTTAAACGACTTACACAAATTCTCTTTACCGTAGGGAAAATTCATCACAGTTACAAACCAGATACAGTTGTTTGAGATATAAGTTATTGAATAAAGATTTACGGTAATTATTGTCAGTTGATGCTGCTCAGATAAATCTATTCATTATTTCATCACTCCAGCGGCACAATATCATTAGTGCATTTCAATAATCAGGCGCAAGTTGATCCTTTTTGATATGACGGGATGAAAAGTTAAAATTACATTCTTGTTCTCTCAATTTCGTAAACAACACCCTCGCCGCGAGAAGGCAGTGAGTAGGACTTCCCTATCAGTCTACCCAATAGTCAATTTATTTGAAATTATCAAGTCACACCTTGGTAATGATACATATAAATTTCGTTATTGAAAATAAGTTCTCTGATATTAAATTCTATATGTATTTGGTGTATTTGGAATAAGGTAGAGAATATTAAACAGGACTATTTTTTTGGGACACTATACAATTATTCACTTTCTTCTAATAATGTAAATGATAAAAGACTCAAATTTGTTAAACTATCAGAATGTTTTCCGAGATTCATTTTCGACATAATAGAACAGGCATTTTTATGGATGTATGATGTATTCATGAAATTTTTGGATAACCACTTAAAATCCTTCATTTATGCCTTATAATAGTTTAATTTTTTCATTCTGTTAAATATTTAATATTTATAATGTTTTCTAAACTGTATAATACTTCATTCAAACTATTGCTTTACTAATACACTTGCTTATGATATAATCTATTTCACCTTACTCCCGTAAAAGTTGAATTCATTAACTATCATGTAACATATCTGGACATTTCTAAATCCTTCGATATGGTTAGCCACCAACTTCTTATAGGTAAACTCGCATCTTATGGGGTTCAAAATCCTTTGCTAGCTTGGTTTGATTCCTTTCTCAGCAATCGACATCAAATAGCTAAAATTAACTCTTCCTTGTCTAACGCTGTCCCTGTTAGAAGTGGTGTAATACAAGGTAGTGTATTAGGTCCTTTGCTCTTTTTAGTGTTCATCAATGATATTTGTGAAAGTTTTTGTGTGGGTAAACCCCTTCTATATGCAGATTATCTTAAAGTAGTATATTCATCTTCTCCACATGAGCTGAAAAATATGCAAAATTGCATCAGCAGGGAGCTTAACAAGGTAGCACAGTGATGCTTAAAATGGCAACTGGAGCTTAATACGGCTAAATGTGGATGGATATGCTTTGGCGATACATCACGAAATGACCTTAATTACACCGTTCATAAATCAACAGGCTGTCCATTTAGGAAATATTAAAAATTCCCGGCTGATGCATTGGATCACTGTAATACATGTACTACATAAACAATTACTGAACTTGTATACTTAAAACGTTCTTCTATCACATGTTTGTTCTGTACATCTAATGTTCCTCTTTATATCAAATTGATCATCCCTGTAAACTGGAGTGAATTCTGTAATTATTATTTTCAGAATATATAAATCATTATTAT